ATAAAGCATAAGAAAAACAAACGTACATGAGGTGGAAACTAATAAATTGATTAAAAGATACTATAAATAAGGGAGTGAAAAAGGGGAGGGACTAATTGTTACTGGAAAAATTAGAAAAAAACACCGAAAAGCATCAAGATTAAGTAGGGAAGAAGATCAGCAAATTGAAGGAAGGACGTTTCAGAAGAGGGGGGATGAGAGATGAATTAGGTGGTACAGAGAGAGCGACGTGAGCGAGAAGTCTCAGTTCGAACCCTTCCGCCTGCTTACACTTTGGGAAAAAAGAAAGAAAGAAAAGGAGTAAGGGCCTTTCAAAACTGGACTCCGCACTCTACGTCGAAGGCGGAAGTACTCTAACAGATAGGAAACGACACAAGTACACACAACCAACCGAGTGCGCGAAACATTCAGTGTCCATCTCCGAGCGCCGTCGTTTCATAGGGGGATAATGGAAGACGGACAAACGCGAAAATGGAAGCGATACGGAAGAGACACGACTTACTCACCTATAAACAATCTGGATGACGGCTGTCTGATGCATATCTTCAGCTTTCTTTCCCCTAAACCTGGTATATGTACCCACAATTTCAATAAATCATGTTTCTTTGCTGGATAGGAAGCCCTATTCTTATCTGATTAGCTGAATTTGTAGCTTTACTCAATTTAGCTAATATGTTGAAACCCATGTCTAAATTTTGATTCTATTTCACTTTATTCTGCAGTATATTTGCTTAATTGTTTGATTTCTACTCTTTTTTTAACGCATTAAGTTATAAAGTTTCAATTTTTAATTGAGAAATCCTTAATTGTGATTTTTAAGCTGAATTCAAGCCTTTTCCTACTGTGCTGTAGGGTTTTTTGAGTTCACTGAAGTCAAAGCTTTTACCTTTACCATAAAGGAGTTAGTTTATTTTTTGGATTTTTGTGACCATAGTTGAACCTTTTGCTGATTATCTTTTTGATAAGTTGTTTTGTATAAATCCGAATCCTGTTATTCAGATTTTAGCAAAGAGTCGACATTAAGCATTTGCACTTGATATGTTTAGTTTGGTTCATCGCTTCCGCGTTCTCCCTTAAACATGTTATTTTAAATTTTGATTGTTGCCAAACAATGCATGCAATTAAAGGGTTGTATGCATTTCTAGAATACGACGTTAGGTGGTATGCAATATACATGAATGTTATTAAAGGTGTAGCTAAAAATTATATACCAGAAAGCATTCATTTAGTTATCATTCCGCGCTGAAGCATTGGATGACTAGTCGAATAAGTGTTTTTTGTAATCACCGTGAAAGTGTTGTTGATTTAAGTCGTTGAGCGGAATGAAGCAGCCATAAAGTCACAGTTTTAAGAAAATTAAGCACAGAAAGGAAAAGGCTATTATTTTCTTATAAAAGATTAACATGGTGCCAGATAATTAGCTTGCACACATGTATGATCCATTATTATATGATCTTTGTCACAAATTGCTGTTGAGCTTGCAGATCGGTATAACACCGCCCTCGTTTGCCACAGATGGCACTTCCTTGCTTGTCATCCACGGCTTTGGCTTCGCGTAGATCGTTCTGTCAAAAATTTATCTAAGCCAGGTGTCTTCCCCAGCATTGAAACAGCTGTTGCTGCAGCAAGGTTAGTAAAAACTACATTTACCTATGCTTGTTTCCTGGGTTATGTGCTAAGATTAGTATTCACTCAGACTTGAGCCTCAATAATGTTCAGGCCTGGGGATACTATTCTGATTGCATCAGGCGGAAGTCATCTAGCATCCAACATCCAGATCAAAAAACCACTTTGCCTGGTAAGTTCAGCTGGTTTCTTGTAACATAATTTTCTTCATAAGTTTGAAAACCATGGTATAACAAAATTTTAATTCCTCTCTGTACTTATTTAGCTTGATGCGTGCATTTTAGTGTGGAGGTAGCAAATTTGTTCAAAAGTTGGAAATGTGTGTTTTAGTGTACTCGATGCCCTTTTCTATTCAGTAGACCATGCAGTTGGAGCCTTCTACTCATGTACAAGCCATTAGAATTGAAGGCTCTCATTGATTTGGTTACATTTGGTCGTCTTTGGTTTTTTTATTAGAACGGGTAGATATTCATCAGGTGAGTTGCTTTGCTTACAAGGTACTTTTGTACTCATCAGTTGTATAACTAAAAACAGGAGTAATAATGAAGGCTCCACTGTTCAGAGGTTGCCAATTACATGATTGATCTTTCTGATAGTTATTGGACAGTGTTAATTTTTTCTTTCTTATTTCCCTCTGCAAGCATCTTGAACCTTTCTTTCTTTTCGATGTCCATTTATTGATTGATCCTAAGAATATTAATGTGCCTAATGTTGAGAACATGGTTGTGTCCCCATACATACTCAAGGGATTTGTGGTGTTTCATCATGGTGAGAATGGATTGGAGAAAGAGTTCTAGTTTAGCTTCATGAAATCTGTGAGGTGTAGATAATTTTAGCGGACATTGTACATTGTTAAAAAATGGTGAAGATGATTGTTTTTTGGATCAGAAATATTCTTTTGAAACTGCGTATGGATCTTGAGATGGTAAAATCATGAAATGGCAAAAATCAGAATTTACTGAAACAAAGCTATGTTGCTAAAATTGCGGGCAGTTTGCGTGTTTCTCTTTGTCACTTATTGTATGAAAAAATTTATGTTGGTAAGGAAAATGAAAAACTTTGGGATTTGAAGAAAAAAGATAGAAAAGTAAACATTAGGATGCCATTTTCTACTTAACTTTCTTGTACAGATTGGAGCAGGGGAGCTTCCTGATGATACAACACTTGTCTGCTCACGAGGCTTTGACAGGTTCGCAAACTTCAAGTGTTTTGTTTGTTTTTTCCCTCTGTGTATTTGTTCCCGCTTAAAAGTCATGGTGAGACTCTGGAAACTGATCATAAAAGAGCATGGTACCAAAATTCAGCAGGTGATGTATCGAAGACTAACTCTTGGTTGAAGAGTAAACAAACGATTTTGTGTTAGTAAAGAAAAATAAAGTTGAGGTGAACTGTGAAATGCAGAATCAATTGCAAAAATAAATGAGAAGATTACCTTACTCTTTTTTGTTTTTGGCCCGGTAATATCTTTTCATGTTATATACGATCATGAAATAGTTATGGATTTTGCGTCTTATATGAGAGCTTTGATGCGTTTTAGAGAGAGCTTTTCTTGCATTTCTTTTGTACAGATAGTCAGTAGGAAATTTCATTGATAATATCTAGTATATGCAATGTCTTGTTTTAACTGAATGCTTGCAGTGTACATAATCCTTTAGAACCAATGCTGATAAAATTGTTGCTCTGCTATTTCATAGAACAAGATTAAATTCTTTTTGGGTCTTTGATATAAATTGATTTACCTTCCACAAGGTCATTTCCAATTATGTGGAGTATCCCCGATCTTTCTTCTTCGGTTTAAAATATATTGTTCTGAACTTTGTTGTCTGATTACAGAAAGCGGCTTCGTACTCTTTCAATTATTTAACAAATAATGGCAACCTTGGCTCCATTTTTCTTGAAACAGTTAATTATAGTAGTATTTTGAAATCGGTATCTTTTTTATTCTGATTTATTCTATGCAATTACCTCTAAAATGTTTTTGGAGTTAAAATCTTTCGTGGGTCTAAATAACATGTTATTGAGTGGCTTCACGGGTTCGTGAATTCTTTTGCCTAGAATAGAGGCATTTTCAGAAGGGTTTAGTTGGTGGTGTGGATTGGTATAGTCTGTAGTAGTGAACTAGCGATGAGCTCTAGGAAAGATGTTTGTCAGATAGCTTTATCCACTTTTGTTGTGCAATTGATTTGTGGATAGAAAAGTATGTAGCTGTTTGTTTAGCTGTTTATAATGAAATATAGCTGTCCATCTAACTTTTTAACTTTGGTCTTGAAACTGCTTCACTGTTGACCAAAAATTCTCCGTATATGCTGTTTATATTCTGTTTATGTTCTTGTGCAGTGCACTGGAGTTTTCATCCACCTGTAAACTGGCTAATTTGACAGTCCGGGCAGAGCTTGGTTGCTGCCTGCTTCATAGGAGTGGAAGGCTAATAATCGATAGCTGTATTCTTCAGTGTGAGTCAAATCCATTGGACCATCTCTCATATGCAATAGTGAGCACAGCCAGTGCCACTGAGTACGAGGTAGTGCCATCTGCTGTAAAGAGCTGCAGTGACAGTGTGTCTGTTTCCCGAACTAGAATTGAGGGAGGTGCTAAGGCTGTTTTAGCCAGTGGGGCTCTTTCATTGCAGCAAGTTCGTGTAATTTATGCACGGGCTTCTGTCTTTTTCTGGTTTGACATGGAGCATCAACAACAATAATCACTAACCATGTTGTAATTGGAGGAGTTAGATCGTGTATTTAGTCTGAAGTTGATGCTACTGGAGGCCGATTATGTTGTTCATCATTTAATTTTAATTCTCGTGGGAATTTATTATTCCATGCATCATTGGTGCTATTACTATTGCTTGATTGCTGTTGCATTTAAGACGTACAATTCATTTTCTTACTGTAATATATATTATTTTGCTCTTCAAAGAAAATTTATGAAAGGATCCAGCATAATAATGCAATTGAACAGCTTCATATTGATTTTTTGTTGAGAATATCACAGTGGTACATCGGGTTTGTTTGGATTGAGCATTATTTTTTCAATTTTATTTGCTTACATTAATATTACAATTTTTAATACATCTTTTTATCTCACATATATCATATTACAAAAAGTGCTACAGTAAAAATATCCTAAATAACTTACAATCCAAACAAACCGATCGACTATTTTCTCCTTGGGTTTCTCTAGTAATCAAAAAGGTGCAAAAACCTTTTTTGTGCAATGAATTAGCAATTTGAGGTATGCGGATTAAAATTCAGTTAATCATGCGGATTTGGATGTACAACAAACTGCCACCAATTCCGATCGAAGCATAACCGAAAATAAAGCAAGCCTTTTTGGACCATACAAATCAGGTATGGTCTTGGCCCTCGCACAAGTCGTTGGCTGGTAAGAAAACATAGATTGCCACCAAAAAACTATACATCCTTCTATCCTAGCCATACATGCTTAAATGTAAGGTGTGATACAATTTAGATTTTCTTATTCACATAGCGTCCTTGCTTAACAAGAGTGTTAACTCACTTTAGCATGCATCTGAATTGACCTATTTTTGCTCTGAATCCATTCCTCATAACATATTCGAGACATGGCAGCAATAGTGCGAAAATCCAGAGATATATAAAAACGGCTGGAACCAATCGAATTGGTTTGGATTCTAGATAAAGTACTTGAAATAAAGTAGTTGCACCGCTAAAGAGCAGGATTACTTCTGATCGTTGCCCTGCTAAACATTTTGCCTCATATTCCAAAGAGCAGCAACAATCTTTTGCTAGTGAGATGCAAACCCCTTTGCAGATGTTGATTCGGCGATCAGTCGGAATCATAGGAAGTCAATGCAACGTCACAACAGATTAAACCAAATTGCGAACAGTTACTGAAAGATTTCTTTTAACAAGTAGCTTTAAATCTTTGAAGTCTGCTGCACCACCCCAAATGATCTTTTCTTTGCTTAAATAAAAGCATGCAATTCCAAAATTTCACAGCAATTGTCCTTGAAGAAAGTTCAATTTTGCAGACAAACTTCTAGTAAAATACAACATAAAAATTTCTTAGAAGTCCAATGGCATACCGCATACAACTCCCAAACCGGTCAAAACTGCACCCCCTTATGGTTGTCACAAAAAGAATGCATCATTTCATCAAAGTCACACGCATTCTTTTACCTTCATTTTGTCTGTCCGCAGAAAATTTGCCCCTCGGGACTCATTAGAACTCCGCACCTATCCTTGTTGCATACCTGCATTTTTTGTTTCATTCATTTTTGTGGCATCCTACTGCTGTGTATTCTCGTTAATTGAACACAACTTCATCATATGATGGAACTACCTAAAACCCAAGAAACTGTAAAAATCAAACAAAATAAAAAGGGTTAAAGAAGTTAATAAAATGTAACAAACAATCTATGTTGATTTATATTCTGAAGCATTTACTTCTAAGTTGTATCCTCTGATACGGTAAAAATCCCAGTTTATATTGAAAGTTGTAAACAAAGACAGCACATAGTGACATACTGCCATGACAGAGACTTCAATGGACCTAATTATAACCTAGTTCGCAATTGAGGAGACATGAAAAAGTATTATTGTTGGATATAACAAGGCCGATGCAATGCATCAGTGTCAAATACCGAAACAGATCCAAATATAAGCCCCGGTAAAATCCTTTAGGGTGCGTTTGGTTCTATAGAATTGGAATTGAAATTCTATAGAATTAAAATTGTATGAATTGGAATTCCTAAACATTGGAATTCTTTTGTTTGGGAAATGCATAGAATTGATACAGAATTCATTTCGAATTTCAAATTCTTTGTTTGGATGGGAGAAGAATTCATTAAGAATTAGAATTGTTTCCATCTAATATTTGCTTGCATAAAATTTTCTTTTTTTTTTTCTTTTTCCTATGTAATAATTTTTTAACATTTAGCTAATTGTTATTAAAGCTTCAATGAAAAAACCAATTAGTGCCTTTAATAATTTATTTTTTCTTGCATTTAACTAATTGTTACTAAAGCTTTAAAGGAAAAAACCAATTAGTTCCTTTTCTATATATATATATATATATATATATATATATATATATATATATATATATATATATATATATATATATATATATATGACTCTTGTTTCCTTTATTCTTAATTAAATTATATTAAATAAAAACTAATTATATATTCTAACTTAAAAAGTAGTTAATATTTATCAAGTTAAAACCTATTTTTTTTTAAGTTAAGAACTTTAAATTTTAGAAAATTAAAAACCTACTCTATTATATGAATTGGAGAGGGAAGTCATACCTTTTACCTACTATAAATGTTTGAGTTTTGCATCTTACAAGAAAGTCCCATATATGAATATGCAAACAAAGTGATTTAAGCAAAAAAGAAAAAGTGAAAGAAACACACAATTTTAGGAAGTTTGAAAAAAAAAAAAGACAGGAGATTGATAAGATTGCTGTTGGAACGCCCATTTGTTGACTCTTAAGAGGTGTGATTCAAAGGCGGGCAACACAGGGCTGGCAGAGGTGGATGCACAAGTCAACATAAACAAGGGAAGGAGGAGACTGACATAAATTAATTAAAACCCCAAAATTTCAACCTGAGTTATGCAATGGGCAGCGAGTGGAGCATGGAGAAGTGGAGGTGGCAACAAAAGTGATGGGTGGAGGCAGCACAATTGGAGGAGGCGGCGGCAGGAATGCTCCAACAGAGCACTAGATATGCCGATTGATAATGGAAAGAGGAGAGAGGTTTGAGTTTTTTCCATCAATTTTATAGTTGACCCATTTTTGAGATTTTACCCGTACAAGACCCGCGTGTTGACCCGATTTAGGAGTTCAGCCATGGAATTGGAATTGGAATTCTTTGGTCCAGCCAAAGAATTGGAACCATGGAATTCGATCAATTTGGAATTGCAATTCGATTCTAATTCTACAGGAACTATAGTACCCAAACACAAGAATTGAAATTGGGGCCCCAATTCCAATTCTACACTCCAATTCTATGGGGAACCAAACATACCCTTAGTTGAATTACATGAATTCAATATCCTGTAAAGTACTACTTCAATCATAACAGGAATGTAGTTATTTTGAACTTCATATCTGTGCCTGCATGATCTTAATACATGGGGCAACATTTCTTTTAGCCTACTAAAAACTGAGCAATGTGTACATAGCCAACAAAAGCTGGATGTCTTATATGCAAAGGTTCAGCTAAAAAGTCAATGGAACTAGAATCTTTATTTGTCTATATATAATTTCAAATCTTAAGCTAGCAAGAAATAACTTCCAATCGAGGTGTGTGAGATTTTAGAGAAAATCTAAAGACAGTAAATCGCATAGAACAAGAGAGACTACCTCTCTCTCGCTCTCTCCCTCTCTGTCATCTTCCTCTAGGCAATCTCCTAGTTGCAAAACTAGTGATTCTCCTTCAAACCACCTTTCGTTCTGGGAAACACACCCAATATATCAATATGGATAACCTATTATCCTCATTCCCACACAACAAATGGGTTTTCGACGTCAAATATTCTACTTGTCCTGTTAAAATGGGTGATTTGAGCAGGTTTGAAGGGGTCACAAATGGGTAACGTATATAATTGGATCAACCCATTTATACCCATATGGGTATATGGAATTACCCACTAATGACCCGCTTGAAAATTTTTTTTTTTTGTTCTTTCAAATGTTGTTTGACAAGAAATAACAACATTTATTGGCATTGGGTTGGTAAGAAATTCAAATTTATCCGCTTACATTCACCAATAATTGAGTTTAAATGTGCAATTATTTTTAAATGGGTATAAATGGTTAATGCAGATCAACCAATTACCCACCAATTAAATGGGTTTAATTGAATCACCCATCTAAACCCATTCAAAGTTCATCCATACACACATCCACTTATGAATGGGCTCGTTTGGGCGGATCAACATAATTAGGTTATGATTGACACCTGTAGCCGAGACATAATAGGATACCTGGATCTAGCAAAATTGCTTCTAGAAAGATTATAGCTCGCATTAGAAAGAGAAGCACATTAGAGGGTGCCTAGTTTCAATGTAAAATATAGAAAACCTAGGGCAAGTGGTTACACCATTCTGTCACACTTATTTACTTAATAAGTGTTAACCTAAATTTAGGCTACAGTATCTGAAATCACACCATTGTGTCACGCTTATTTACTTAATATATGTCTCCACTAACTGCTATGTTGTGTGGTTCACACTCAAGTCCTCACAATTAATGGTCTCCAAGAAGTTCTTGCATTAAACTAATCCATACTTAGATGACGCATTGCTACCAAATGCATGGGTCGAACACTGGACACAATTTAGAATCATATATCAGTTTTCTTTCATTAGCGACTAGAGAACTGCAACTGGCTTATGTGAATTCATGCAGGCAAGTCGGGCAATTCATAAAATTTGCAAGAAAGCTGCTGTTATTATAGCGTTGATTACATGTAGTGAAAGGGCAAAGTAAGATGTATAATTATCAATGGAATATGTTAAATTCACCAAGTAACAATGGGAAAGCTCACCTAATAATGTGTAGAAACAGAGGTGGCCAATATAATATCAAGAAGCTGATCTCCGTTGTAAAACCAAATCATTAGCAGAATAATAATCAGCAATAAGTCGGTACATATATGAAGGATTATGTCCCCCGCTGTCAAAAAATAAATAATGAATCAGAAAAATTCCAGGAATGAAGAAATCTAAAATAAGTGTATAGCTATTTAATCCATGAAGTTCTTAGATAAAATATTTTAGTTTAACTACTAAAAAAACACTAAAGGTAATAGGTACTGCCTAGAACTATGAAAGACATCTTATAAAGCATTAATTAAACTTACGTATCAGTAATAAATAGGCTAACAAGATTTGGAGGCACATAATCAAATGCAGGATTCACAACATGCAGGATAGGAGAACCAGAGCCACTTCCAAAATCTAGGCAATCAGAAAATTCCCCAAAGTCCAAGAGCTCGGATGGGGACCTCAATTCATTCAGTAAGACCTCTGGATTGTGAGGATAGAGAGGGCACAGCTGCAACATGAGCAGAAGGGTAGTTAGCTAACATAAACTTCCATGAGTAAGAAGTGGTGAGATACACTGACCAGCGAGCTGGAGTCTTGCACATATAGGGATAGGGGGAGTGTGTCAAATTAGACACTCAAACATAATCAAGAAGTTAGCACATACAATGTAGTCCAACTTTAGATATAATAATAGCTAACACATTGCCTTAAAGGATGGGATAGAAAAGGCCCGTGAGGTAGTGGAGCTATTTTATATATTGCACGATCAACAGATCAGTTGGAATTCAATTCAAACTGCTGAAGATTGCTTGTCAGGCATATCACTAGATCAGTGACAAGAAACTGATGCCCTTACAGCACAGACTCATTCTTTGATTCAAGAAACCACAGAAGAACAAAACCAATTTCTGGTTTATAACTTCCAATACAGTTAACAGAACAGACAAATAGTGTCAGCAAAAAGTATTCCACAACAGTAAAGTGGGGCCAAATGAATCAATCATGCAGTTGTTTTAAGCTAAGTAACATTTAGCAATAGCTCACAAACCTGCTGAAATGCATGAAAGCACAATACTAAAAGGGTTGAGATTTTTTTAATATAACTGCTACCACTGCTTTGGTTCCATAAGCCAAAATCAATAAGCAAGATGTAAAAGTGTGAAATTCTAACTGAGAGATGCAAGCCCTAAATTTGGGGCCAGTGTCTCGTCAACTATACATTTGGCAAAAGCTGATTATTCAGAAGTGACTCTAGAAGATTAGATTTCCCACAATCTCACAGATGTTCCTATTTGTTGTGAAAAAATAGATTAAAAACTAAACATGGATGTTCTTAAAAAAAAAAAAAAGACTGATATAAACATGTTCAAACCTGGATGTTCAAAGGTTGTAAAAACTTATTATTGATGAAAATGACCGAAATGCAATCAGATGCTGAATATAAGAAATTTCATGTTGAATAAGTAACTTTCTTGTATCACATATTTTATAATAAAAATTAAACCACCTAAAAGTATTTGATAGTTATACATTATAAAAACATTCTAAAAAGTTGAACATCAAACTTAAATTGTATTTCATTCTTGGTATTTTTGTAGTTTAAACAAGTTTGGAAAATAATTATTGTCCACAGAAAGTTCAGCTGTTAATCAGATTAGCTAAAGCTACACTTGCGTAGGTTGCAATTTTTAGCTTTTTCTGGTTATTAAAAATCTAAATTCTAGATGCTAAAGCAAATACAAAAAATCAGAAAAAGAAAATTTGAATTTTCACAATCAAAATGCATAATCAGCTAACATAATGAAACAAGAAATGCCCCTTCATGTAATCTGTCAAAGCAGATAACATCTAAAGATATGTTTAAGTGTGACTACAACTTCTATTCTACTCAACACCAGATAACCTGTGCCCCAGAAGGACCAATAGGCAGCTGCATGCTGGACATTGAGCTTTTTTTATATATAACTTGCTCTCTAAGCTCTAGCGTTAAAAAATATAAGACAGGCTTGAGGCCAAAGGTAATAATGTCCTCTAAATTGTTCAAGAAACAAAGAATTAGAACGTGACAAGTCAATTTAATATTGTTTTCTACTGTTCAACAATTGATTGATACGTTGACAGAAAAGCCCCCGTTGAAAGAAATGTCCTCTGAATTGTTCAAGAAACAAAGAATTAGAACGTGACAAGTCAATTTAATATTTTTTCTACTGTTCAACAGTTGATTGATACGTTGACAGAAAAGCCCCCATTCCCAAATTGAACAAACACGTGACTTCAGATATTTCTCACGAGGTGCTGAAACAGAAGTCTCTGTCTCTTGAATAAGAAACCCTTTATGCTTCAATGGTGGAAATCAGTGGTGTCCAATCAAATTGCCTTAATGGATTTCACAATGACCGTGGACCTTGCTTAAGACCACAGTATATGAACTCACTAACCATGTAGTCGTATACCTATTAAAATTTGCTATATGGTCTTTGTACAATAGCTCAAATGTATATTCGCTCTCAATATCTTGTTTGAGTATGCAAACATGTCCATGAAATCTGACCTTTTCAGGCTTTTGACATGGGATCTTGATGAACATTGTCTTCTGATCAATAGCCCAAAAAAAAAAATTGCATATTCAGAAAGGTCCAACAGTATCCTAGATTTCTACTTGACTAAGTAACGTTTTCAAATTAGAAGCAATTTTGAGTAACATACACCAAACATTCTTGAAAATCAAATTAGGGGAAGAAGATCTCAGAAAAGTTTGGGCTCATTAGCATTATATCAAAAACAGATTTTGCTATTTAAGAAGTCTGAATGTTGATCATGGTAGCCAAACAGATAAAACTAGCACTTGGACCCCAAAGACTCAAAACACTATATGTGCTCCCCCATTTGTTCCTCATTGTTTCCACTGCCAACTTTACAATGAATCTGCTTTCAGAGTTTCCAACACATAAAGGTATCCAATTGACCAAGACAATTCAGAGGAATGTAACACAATATCAACTTTCTGCAGAGGGATATAACAATTTTGTATGTTTAGCCAACTTACCTTCTGTAGACAGATTTTGATATGAAACACAAACTCTACTATCCATAACAACCCAAATATGATTTTTATTATCCATTACGTTCAAAAGCTTTTATCATTTGTTCAATTTTTTATATCTCACAGAATGGTCAGTTATGGATTACCCCTTATATGAAGGAGAAAATACTCATGATTAATAGGTGGTTCTGTAGGCAAGGACAACTTTGATCAGAGATCTCCCCCAGTTTTGATGTGTCAAACATTTTGGACTGACCTCACATAAAGAAAACTCCCCTTCATTACTTTTAACTTATATCCAAAGTTGCATCTTGCCTTCGTTTACTTAAAATAATTTCTTTAGGCTATGCATAACTTTAAGAAGCAAAATGTCATATCCACACTGGATAAACTTTCTGTTGAGTGTGGTAGCTATCCAAGAATGGTGCCACTCAGTAGGCAACAAATAGCATTTTTCCTTTCAAAAGATTCAGAATAATTCCAACAACAAGAAAAATGATTATATTCTGATAAGTGGACCTCATCCACCAAGTACAAATTCATAAAACAAGTCATTTAACTTGGTTGTCGGCTTTCTGAATGTGCTAACCAACACTTCTGCAGATGCTGTACTAGAGACAGCCCAACCATTTTAGAAAAAAATCCAATTAAACTAAGATGTTTTAAATTATCTCTTGCCTGATTCTAAAGCCAGGTCACAATTCTGAAGTTGTCTTGTAAATGCTATTCCCCAGCAAAAATAAAGGAAATATATGAAACATAGAACTGCATCTTAGTACACACTCCATTTACTCAAACAAAAAAAATAAAATTCTGCCCTGCAGCAAAACTCAATCAAATTAATGTGGTTTCCCTTGAAGAATTTTTTGCAACATGAAACTTTCTACATCATAGACATCTTAATAACTATTTCATTAAACTCTAGATAACAGAAAGTGAACCAGCATACCAGAGAAACTTCAATTTTATCACATACATACAAGTCATCTTGTTATTGCCAACAATCTTCAGAGGGGAATAGGTACCCCCTCCTACCTTTATTGCTAGAATAATAGGGCTGGAAGACATTTTTAAGCATGAAGTGTAGAACTCTATCAAATAAGCACACATGAGGAAGCAAAGAAAGAAACATGAGGTGCAGTTTTTAACTATAAAATCACTCTACCTAGAACACTTAAACTCCTCTGCCATTAGGAAATTGATGCCAGCTCAACTATGAGGTTGTTTAGATTAGTCAAGACATGAAAGGAAGCTAGAAGGTCTTTTTCAACAATTCCACCATCAATTGGTTCTCTGAAGTACTTAAATAGGTGACAATAGATAACGAAATTCGGTTTGATACTTCAGGACATAGCTTCAGCTCATTGACATATGCTTTGTGGATCACCCATTTTTTTTGTCAACCTTCTTTTCACAAAACAAGAAAACATGGTTGAGATGGTTTATCCTTAATAGACAAGGAAAACATATCATTCATAAGTGCCTCAGTCTGCACATTAGAGCTCATTGATCATAAACACACACTAACAGATTCGACATTCACATTTTTAACTTCATTTTAACATTTTACTTCTTCAATCCAAAGAAGTAAATCAGAACAATTCTCATTGGCACATTCCAAATATTCATTGCTGGTATTTTTAAGATGAAAAGGCAAAACATTCTTCATTACATAGAAACTAACTGAATTGACTCACTACTTTATTTGTAGCTCTAAAACAGGGTCCATTTGGTTTATTGGAAAAAAAAGGATAGGATTACTAATCTCATGTCATCCTTTGTTTGGTTGATTTTACCAATCCCATTTATTCTAAATTAATAATCCCAGAGGGAAGGTAGTACTATTTATCCTAGGAAGACAGCTTTATGTGATAAAATGACTTTTCAAAGTTATTTTCAGACAACCATGTTATATTAAATCATTTCCATACTTACCAGCCATAATATTGGACTTCCAAAAATGCATGAACAATATAACACTATCCAAACTCCAAACAACCATTTTACATAGATGAACAAATGAAAAATGAGTCACCTCAGGATAACTAATCCTGGTATGACTCCCTTATCCCATCCACAAAACAAGTGAGGCCACATTAGTTCAGAATGCTAACTGCACTTAAATGTAAACATATTTTCCACTTGAATTCTTTCAGAAATCACAAGAATAGAATTGTTTCATGATGAGGTCAGGGGGGAAAAAAACAATATTCAGTAAATTACACTGCATAGGAATGCTAACTGCAGATGAACCTACACACAGACGCACACACATATAGGATCTCATCATTAATCATAATAGAGACACTGTAATTCAGGTGAGAGAACATATTCTAAAGATTAAACTGCTTGAGAATGATAACTTTGGATAAAATCAAACATGCAACAGAATTCTATCATTAATCGCCTAAAATATTTCAGAAAAAGATTTTCTACGAGTTCCATGATGGAGCACTTATTATCAATCTAATCAATAAATCATGTCAACTAAGAGCCTTTAAAATTCCCAAAGAGTCAATTTGATTATAAGCACTAGCAGCAATCAGATTTCAATTATAGCAACCTGGAGATGCATTTGAACAATCGCCAATGAAGGGATTTCCAGAGCTTCAGATGTGGTTGTTGGAAACTCCATATAACCTACAATCATTTCTAAATAATTGTCCAAGGTTATTTGTTCTTTCATCCTTTTCCATCCACTGGGGTAAATAAACAATTAGACTTCTCGGGCATCCCGAAGAAGCACCTGTTGAATTTTTACTACTCTCATTACATGTCTTCGAATTTAGCTTTTTAGCCATTTACTTAACACGCTTACTGCATCACAGCTCAAATCTTCTTTTTCATTTAAATTCCATGACCTCAATATTAGTATTCTGTCACAAGAAAAATCTACAAGCTCTTCCTTATTACTTTTCATGTATCAAAAGTAATATCCAAAACTTCAAGTTCATTCGCTCTGAAACGAACTACAAGCTGTAGTAACTACATCCATTCTCTGCAAATTAAACAAGTTGATCTTGTAATTTATTGCTTGAGCTGAGTTTTGACACCAACAAACCTTATGAATTCCTGCAAGTACAACGAAAGGGACTGCATGCCTTTGAGCTGCTAAAGCCACCATATTCAATCCAACAGGTGCTATAACCCCACCATTAGCCATCACAGCATGAGCTCCAACAATAACCTTAAAAAAGGAAAAAAAAATAATCAAGTGAAAAGCATGATGGAATTTAAAAAAGAAAATAATCAATAAGCCACAATCACTGCATACCATATTCACACGGGAAATCATTGCAAAGACAGCAGAATCAGTAATTACTGTGGTTTGAAGCCCCCTTGTAACCAGCTCTTTTGCGAGGGTATGTCCCTGATATCTGATTTTAGCGGAAGATGAATCAATTAAAAGAGTGGGAAATACTGGAAACCTAAACATACTAGAAGCTGTATTTTGGTATCTGACAAAGTAATTAGCCTCTTGTCTCACCTCGGAGCACCCTCTGCAACAAATACACGAAATGATCTCTTTTTCTCTTTTGCAGCGCACAGAAATTCCACTACCGTCCTTGAACTGCCCAAAGTCAATATTACCTCACTGAAACAAAAGAGACATAACAACCAACAGATAATCAGATTAAAATCAACTAGTATCATATCAAATACACTAACATACTAATTAAAAGGTTCAAAGGGGTAGCACCACATAAACTTCGACATATTGAAAGACAAACAAAATGTAAATACTGGACCTCAATTGAATCAATTCTTGACTAGCATTTATTGAGCTAGACTTAAGCTCAAGCTACTACAAACATTTTCCAATTAGATCTCAGGCTGCAAAAACGTGAACCAACACACTCCTTTGCCTATATTCATATTTGGTTCTATTTCATTCTAGTTTCAATCACATATCCATACACTCTAGCAAATGGTCTGAACCATACTTTTATGCAATGGTAAGAGATGATTATCTCTATGGAGGTTTGAATTTTCAGTATTTATAGGGATTGAAATGGACATGCAAAGTAAGCTCGAAGAAAAAACAGAGACAAGAGTGAAGAAGATACTGAGAAGCAATGACGGCAAGCTGGCCAATGTGACCTAACAGTTACCCATAGAAAGGTAAGCAGCCGAAATCACTACTTGCTCAAAATGTAGTGTGCTAGGCGTAGGATACTAACCAAGCCGTCATACAGTTGAACCACATGTTGCAATAAACATATGGGATCTTAGATCACCCAATTCAGTGATACAGAAATAGCTAATATACCATATTTGGCAAGAGTGCAAGATCATACTGATAGGCCATTTGCTGAGCCATTAGCTTTCCCTTTAACTGAGAGCAAGATCCATACCATGTCTATGAGCACACAAGCTATCACTGAGATTTCTATAAAATCATAGCTGAAGAAGGCTCTACTGCTGATGTGCAGAATGCGAAGAAAAAATCTATTACTGTTTGGACAATTCCAGAAAGCAACAGTCTGGAGCTCCTTGCTTTTTTTTCAATTGATTCCATGTGCTTGCCTTTATTTTAATCAACTAGAGGTAGCATACGTATTATCTGAAATTAGAGTTTCTAGAAGTCTAAGTGTTGGACATAAGAACTCAAATTTGGTGGTCGCCCCCTACGGGTGGCAAATCTAATTGGGGATGTACATCTTTTCACTGAGTGCTTTCTTAGTTGTTAAATTTTCTTAGCTACAATGTTCCCTTGGTGCTTAAAACGTCTCTGCACAGAAGGCTAGCTCTTTCTCTATATATGTCAGTTGTAATAGCTTAGGAAGGTTGAAATGGAAAGAAATTGTGTTTTATTGAGCATTTTGACAACAACTTTGCTTTCTTTCAGAGATGAAGGCAACCTACGCTCATATGCTTAATACAAAAGGAAGTCTAGGTGGAACTCCTAGAGCTTCTTACTTCTCCTTCTCTCACTCTCTTGCTTCCTGCTGAACTCCAACTTCTACACTCTTATTCTCGGATTTTGATAGCTTAAAATGCTGAAACTATCTTCTAACCTTAAAGATTCTTTGTGCTGCATCAATTTATATAACCTGGCTAATGTAAATTTCTCCTCGAGCTGGTAGTTCGAAAATACTAATCATTATAATAAGCTCAGCTAAAAAGACACCACCATTACCCGCTTGAGTTTTATAATTAGGATGTTGCCACACTTTCCTTAAACAAGCAGATAAGCCAAGATTAGTTAGTCCAAAGTCTGTACGAGCTCACTGGGATCGCCAATACCTTTGTTGACCTTTTATTGTAGACATTTTCAATGATAATCAATTCAACTCTGACAACATGGGAAAATTCCTAATATTGATTATTCTCTTCTTTCGGGACAATACCTTAATGTTTCCCATATCTTTCCAATCATATGGAGGCTAATTGTTTATGCATATTAATCAATTTTAACAGGCCTAGCAAGGCTGAAAAGAACTCCAAAGGAACACAAGCTTACATATATTGCATCTAAATAATCAATTCTAAAGGTTTTCTAACCAAATCCAGCTTGACAGAGGATGTGAAACCTGGCACTCAAGTCCAATCATTTGAATTCAGCTTCAGAAAAGCTTATTCACTTAAAACTCAACTAAGATCAATTGCTCCCATAATTCCAAGCAAGCACTACCAAACAAAACTTTTGGGAAAAGAAATAAATGAACACAATGAAAAACAATCAAGAAACACAAGATAATGAAAAAACAAAGCCCTCAGTTCAATGACTATAAAAATTACATGGTAAGACATTCATCAACTCTCTTGAGAAAAAGCACACTACAACCTACTTATTCATAAAGCTGAGTTGTTATTATCCTCCTTCACAGCAAAATGTCATTAAGTTATGACAAACTTACAGTGACATACTTTACCTAATTTTACAAAAATTAAGATAGAACTCAAAGCTAGATTTGTCAATAGTAACTTAATGAAGTTAGCAGTCTTGAGGAAAATTGCAAAGATCAATCTAGTACTCCCAAAGAAAATGGATTTAATCAAAGATGTAAGTGATAATTTCCTATTGTCTTCAGAAAAGCAAAGGCAACTTCAGTTCAATGAAGTTCTATCAAACCAATAAAAGGAAAACAAATTATCTAGAGAATATATAATCCAATTCCCACAATGCATTTTTAGCTAGTGTGGGTAGCCAACATGAAGGCAATATTTCAGCCATATCCCACAGAATCTTGTAACTGGACTTCTGCAATAGCATGTATTGAACTTAGTTCCACAGCCAGCCAACCAAACAAACATGCTAGTATGACAAAGGTAACTTTAATTGATCATACTCAATCATTTGAGAATATGATAAATAACATGAGCACATATTTCCTGTTCCCACTATGATTGATGACGTAAAACAAACTTAAGTGGTATTTAGAAGTATAAAAGAACTTTCACAAAAGCATTAAAGAAAGATACTTTTGATGTATATGCTCCACAGCTTGCTCGGCAATCTGTTCATGGCAAGTGACTATGTCTTGAATCAGTTCATTAACTGCCTCAATGACATTATGCTTTAGCCTTTTTGTGCTTGAATTCTTATCAGCAGCTGAGAACAAATATTAGCAGCACACGTCAAATGCAGAGACACTTAAAAGCAACACCAACATATTAAATTATGGTTTATAAGTACACAAGGTGACCAGCATAGGTAAACTACTGAATAATCACTAGCCATGATGGCTACCGCAGAGAAACCAAGGTGCTTGGATCTATAATCACCAAGAATTCACATTCAACCGTCTAGAAACCAATAATGGGATTATTTATATAAATGGAGAAAATGGTATACTTACATTTGCTTTTTCCCTCAGAATCGCCTCCTGAAGAAGATGTATGAGGAACAGCTGCTGTATGTGGTACATCCTCAAGAAGCGTTTGCAAGGAGGGAGGCCTCAAAGTGCTTCTGGCAGCAGCAGCAACAGCTGCTGCTGATAAAGCGGGATGTTCATCATGCCCAACATCATCTTCATCGTCACTTCCAGCAGACAGACTCAGCCCGCCAATTGCAGCTGCAGTGAGAGAGAGATCCTCCTCTCTAATGATATGTAAAACACGCCTTACAACATTACCAACAGCAAGCTCTGCAACCAGTCATATCCAATATCGTGAAAAAGCAAGCAACAAATTACTGTAAGCAAATTATGGTATAAGTGCCACAATTATGTATAAAATTATGTATCACTTTTCTCCACCCTATTCAATTATTTTCGAGATGAAAACGTACAATTACAGCACAACGGATTTTTATACATATACATTTCATTTCAGTTAATTCTTTTCTGTTTTGCACCATCTTTTTTTCCTTTTCCGTTTAAGCTCAGCCAGAAATAATTACTCTTTATCCTTGCATCATTGATAAATAAAATACCCTGAACAGTTTTATCAGTGATAAATAAAATACCTAACCAGTTTTTAAACTAACATAGAATTGAAAAACCGCAAACTACAATTATTATATTAAAAATTACAAAAAAAAAGAAAGAAAAACAGAAAACAAATAATGTTTCATTTTACATACCAACAGGATTAGCAGCTATTAGCTGCTCTCCAACAGCTTTAACAGCGTCAATTAGTGCTCCGGCCTGGTTTGTATTGGGAAGCCTCTGCTGCGAAATGAATGACCTCAGCACTTCCGCGGTTACCTTCGCCGTGGCCTTTGAGCCTTCAATTTTACTAGTTTAATCACAAACAAAATGGAAACCAGAAAATGAACAAACAAATAAACAAACAGAATTCATATTCTGGAAAAATTCGAGGGAATAATCTCATATGGATTACCGTCTTTTGAGCTTGATTAGAAAGTCGTTCACGAGAGCATGCACGTCAGGCATGATTTTCAGCAGACAAATTCACCTGAATTAAGCGAAAACTATATGAATACATAATTGAAAAGAAAGATGTGTACAAAATTGAAAAATTGAAGTAACTTTTGTACAGAGATTGCATAGATTGAATATTACAGATGAAGGGAGGCAATCGAAGAAGCTCAAAAGTGATAACTTCTTTGTTGTAGTTGGGTTCTGGTGGGGGATTAGCGAGGGCTTAGGAGGGAATTTGATTCGTGGCTTTTGAGCTGGGAAGGTTTTCTAATTTGTGGTGATTGTGTTTGGATATCAAAATATTTTTTGTTTGTATCGTAAATATATCATTCAACCCATCTTTTTATATTTTTAATCATCTTTTTATTTCACATACATTATATCACAAAAAGTATTACAGTAATTATTTTAAATAATACTCTATCCAAACAAGGGCTTTCAAGATTTGTAAGGCCTGTGATTTTTTTTTTTGTTTTTAGTTTTATCTACCTTCTAATAGGTAGGGGGAAATTTTTATGAAAAGTTTTATGAGGGACTTAGTGGCAAAAAAAATTAGGATGGGAATTACTAAAATTTATTTAGTTATTAAGTATATCTTTTAGAGGTTATTTTAAGACTTTTAATATGACCCATATTATCAAGGGTAAAAAACAAAAAAATTACTTGTAATTAAACGAGCATGCAGAAAAATCTCACGTAATTTCAAAATTTATAATCCAATCCCTCGTGGTTTGAACTAAATTGAAAAACATTACAAAAGTCGTCAAAACTAACGTGTTTGATGTAACAGTCCCACCTTTTCTTAGGGCCTACCACCCCAAAGGTTAGCGGACTGTCTGTCTAGCTCTCGCTAGGATTACTAAATCAAAATTCACATAAAGTACTAAAACGCGCAATTTAACTTCCATTCATCAACCAAAACTATATACAATGGAGTCGCTAAAGATTCAACTTAAAATACAAGCCAAAGTATCTAAACTTATACAAATACATGTGAAGTATACAAATACAGAGGAGGTTAAACAAAACAAAACAAAACTAAAACTAACTCAACTCTTTCCCCAAAATCACGTTTTCAAAACTTTGTCCCTTGTAAGGAAAACAAAGAGTAATAGGGTAAGCTTTCTCACAATGAGGTGCCAAAAGGTCACACAGTCACAAATCACATAATTAAACTTTTAATCGATCAAATATAAGTATCAAATAATGAAATAAGTAAACACCACAACTCATACAGAGCATTCAAGTAAAATGATACAGATGATTCTCAAAAGCCAATTTCCCCGTTTCATTAACTTGTTCCAAACCCGTTGACACTCCGTCAACGTTTAAAGAGAGAAAACAATGACCGTAGATCTCCACTTTACATCAGTTTTTCGTCCACCAAACATACCCCTCACCAGACCCGAACACCAAACAGAAACAGTGGTGGGAATACTCGAGTATATCCAAGCAAGAACAAGGATGGTCGATGAGATAACTCTCCAATCGACTTAATCAAGATAGAGCTACTGAGACGGGAATGAGAGGCACCTCCCACTCGAATTGAGTGTGATACATGCTGTCGCTCAACAGTAGAGTCGATGAGATAATTTTCCAATCGACTTAATCAAGATAAAGTATTGAGACGGGAATGAGAGGCACCTCCCACTCGAATTTAGTGCGGTACATGCTGCTGCTCAACACTTACAAGTCAAGCACAAGCACAAACACAAGTACATGTCAATTAAATTTAAACAAGTACAAGATCATTCAAGAAGGGGAGAATAAGTGTGATAAAGTACACCCTCGCCTTATCAAGTTCAATATTCAACACATAACCCGAGGTATCATTCATATCAAAATATCAAGAAACATGCACTTGATACTCATCAGTTTAAACAAAATAACGTCAAAAGTTTGCCTCCGGGTTATACCCTTGATCACCAACAAACCCTAAGAATAACCAAGATAGAGTATTATGGTTCAATCATTCAAAACTTAGGTGAACCAAAGAAAATCCAAGTAACTACTAGTGCAAAAGTGTAAATATGCCAAGGGACATGAGTAACCAAGGAGTTCCTCATTCCAATTCATGGCTGTAATTTTCAGCAACAAATAGCTAAAAAGACAACCAACCTCGAGGTTAAAGTGAAACAAATACAATTAGAAAGCATACTAGAAGAAACCATCACTTTTCCTCTTATTTTACACATGATTTTGTCAAAATTTCAGCTTTTACACTACCATCAAAGTGCACTCAAGAAATCACATATAACCTAAGTCCAAACCAATCAACAGGTTACATGTAAGTGGATTGCTAACCAAAAACTCAACTTTTTTTCATGGTTCAAGTACAAATCATGCAATGCCTCATAGTGTGAATATAAGGCATGAAACTCTTTGAAAAACTACAACAAAATGGAAGTTATAAGCTGGAAAACTTAGGATGTAGTTCACGGTTTAAGCAAGCAAATTCCAGCGAGCCTCACCTCATTTTTGTCACCAAAACAACCCCTCTCATACTTATTTCAATCATAAATCACATAAAATAGGCTTGTTGTGACAGCCCCACCTCACCCTAAGGCGAACCAAAGGGTTCGGCGGACCGCCTGCCCAACTCTCGCCAGGACTACGGAGTCGATTCACACAAATCCAATATAGTACGCGCGGTAGGACCCAAAGAAAACGAACAATCGGAACCTATTAAGGTAAGAACATGCTTACCGAACCATAAAATCATAGTTTCAACGGAATATATTTTATAGAAAAGGTTAAACACTTATACATATATTTACATTGGAGTCTTGAACAAATTAACATACATGGCAATCCGGGGTATACATACTACACAAAATACAATTAGGGTTTCGTTTTCAAAAGAGTTTAACAACATGACATATATGCTAACTTGACCCATTTCGTCCAAAACCGTGATTTCCAAGTTTGTCCCCTGTAAGGAAAACAAAGGTAACAGAAAGGGGTGAGGTTACGATCAATGAGGTACCAAACATATAGGGTAAAATCATGGCCTTTCAAATATACCAAATATATATAGAGGAAAGCAGATACATATACCAGATATAGAGGAAAGCAGTTAGACACAGTGATTCAAAGGGAAAGGATACAAGTGGCTCTCAGGAGCCAGATTTCCATTTGCAGTACTTGATCCGAACCTGTTGACTCTCCGTTAACGTAAATAGAACCAACATATCCGTAGACCCCACTTTACACCAATTTCCGTCCACCAAACATACCCCTACCGGGTCCGAACGCCGAACAGGAACAGTAATGGTAATTCTCGAGTATACCGGAATCAAGAGTCTCAATACCCAAAGATTCCCAAAACAGACTACCGTGGTTCGTTATCTAATCGACCAGATCTTTGCCGGCCCGACTTGAATAACTAGCCACATGTGTCGAGTTCAGAGGTCACAGAAAGGTCGTTGGATACCAGCCTCCAAACGACGTCCGAACAGACTCAGATACAGTTAACAGATTATACACAGTAAATAGGCATATGGACAGACAAGAGAACGAGTGTGATAAAATACACCCTCATCTCAAACAGAATAAACAGATAGTGCAGTCATTTAAATCGCAGATTGCAGGGGCAAAAACCAAGTTAAGTAACAAATGAGAGGAGTGGTACACTCACCGGTTCCAGTACAGATACTTCAAAAATTTTTTTACCCAAAGTGGCCTTAATCGCCAAGAAACCCTAAAATAATCAAGATAAAACAATTATAGTTCGCACATCCACAAACCCAGTAAATGGAATGCATAAAAGAGACTCGACAACATGTCGTACGCCTTTTCAGGTTAAATACTAATACAAAATAATATAAATATGACTTTTGAGCAAAAAGATAACAGTTGGTCCTAGGGTTACAAACAACCCTCAAAACCTTTCATTTTTACTAAGATCAACTCAACTTGAAGGAATCGCGTAGCTCTAAAATTTTGGGCAGCATGCCCTCTGTATTTTGCTATATTCCAGCCATTTATGGCTTCATTATTTTTCCTCAAGTCAGTCCAATTCAACACATAAGAAATCTCAATACAATAGCCCTTCAACTAGGCTCAAATTCATCCAAATACAAAGCAAGTCTAGGAATGCAACTAGAAATCAAGTTTTAAGAATAAAAGCTAAATAGCAGGTTTGACGTCTCTTAACGGAACAAACACAATCGAAGCTACGCTTATCAGATTGGGGTGAAATTTATATCGTTTCGAAGCTAAGATAAAGGCCTACAAATTTGATGAAAACCACTTAGTCCAGTTCATAGTGTATCTAGGTCAAAATGTCAAATTACAGAACCAGCATCTCACAATCAGACTAGTTAACCGCACTATGATTAAACGACAATAACTCAGGCTACCGAAGTCCGATTGAGGTGTATCTTCTGGCGTTTCAAAGCCAAGACATATAACTACATTTTCTATGAAAACCTCCAAAGCTAACTCATGCATTTTCAGAGTCAAAAATTGAAATCTCCACGAAGACAGAAAACTGTCCGCGAAAATAGGGTTTATGGGTAGTCAAGGATATTACAGTCATTTCACATGCTACGGTGCTCCAATCGAGCTGAAATTTTACAGGCATCTATAAAACATAATTTTCTACAACTTTTATGTTTTGTGCTAAGGCCAATTCGGCCTCTAACTAGATCTAACAGTACCGGGCAGAACATGAGAAATTTACAACCCTAAACTGTCATTTTCTGCGCTAACCAGAAATTTCCGCAACCAATCGTATCCAACATATATTAGCTCCATATTACACTATAATAAGCCCTCAATCAATGACCAAACCATGATTATCATACAAAACATAAAAATAACAATAATAAATCAAAATCCATCATAACTTCACTTCCAACCATAAACAAACCATAATCACACCATATGTCATCATATTAAGCCACTAAAGTTACCAATTGAACATTATCAAAGTTAAAGGGAAAAGTTCTTAACAACTCACCTTGTAATCTCGAAAAAACAAACAACTTAGCACCTCCTCTTTTCAAACCACTCCACCAACTTAGTCACTACCACCTAACAAAGGATTTCTACGGAGTGAATCCGAGAGTTTTCGGTTGAATCACAAGATTTGTGCAAGAAATTGGATCAACTAGTTGAAGGTTTTTTTTTTCTTTTCTCTCCAAGAAGTCTCGGCCAAGAGGATGAGTATGGTGATGATTTTGTGGTGAATTTTTAATATGTAGGAAAGGTAAAGTAAAGGTAGAGTAAAAGGTCAAAGTCCAAGGGTGAATTGAATGGTGACACTTGTCACCTTTTGGCTTAAAACTTATCC